GTCCTTCGATTCGGGGAAAAAGAAGGACGTATTTSTCGGACGCATCGGAGGAGTCTTCCGTTTTGGACGTCCTTCGTCGCGGCGCTGTGACGTATGCGGCCGACAAATTCGACCTTCGGAGGACCCGTCCTGCCGTTTTGGACACAGCCACAGAGAGAGAGGGAGGGGGGAAGAAAAGTGAGCTGCGATGTGCGGCGAAACAGACTCGCTAAAACAAAAATGTCCTTCAAAAATACGAAGCGGTCTCAGGGTAATGTTTGATGATGGAACAATGTCCCAGCAGTTCTTCATTTATCTGGAGAACTTTTCTCTAAATTTTATCGGCCCACGATTGGATGTGACGTGAAGACAAACAGCAGCTGAGAGATGCTGCAAACTCCTGAATACTCAGAAGCTTATGCAACATGTTGCCGTGTGCAGAATCAGATATTCTTTCAGAAAAAATGAAACAGCGCTGTTTGTTGTTTGATAAAGCTCTGTAAACAGGAGGGGGTCATGGGGGTGGGGGTTCCTTTTATAACAAAAGTAAATAATGAGCTTAGATCCTATTCAGTTGGCAGGTGTGCACAAATTGTTGCTGTTTGCAGGTTTGTGTTTCTTTATGGCATATTTAATGTGAAATTTATTTCTAAAACTTTAATTTTACAAAAGGGTAACTTTATTAATGTGAGATTCTATGATTTACATGTCAATGTTTTTTCTCTCTTGGTAAATACCTTTTTAAATACTTTGCAAAAATAATTTCATGTTCTACTGAACCACAGCTAGTTGTTATATTAGTGAAAGTGAAATAACAGCCTTTTTATTTCTGTAGCTATTGTTTGTTAAATTATTTCTTAGTCACTTTTTAACAGTTAACAAAAAATTGTGATATTAATCGAGATCAGACGATATGAAAAAATTAATTGTGATCATTTTTTGCCATATCTCCCAGCCCTACCTCCTACTGATGCAAATTCAACAAAATGATCATTTTAAGTTCTTTACAAGCTATAAAATGTTTTGAAACTCTGTTGTGCATAATAATTTGGAACAGTGCATTTTACTTAAAAATTTGATCATTTTTAAAAAAATCGTGGGACTGGTTGACCTTTTGGCCTTTAAACTTTCATTTATTCATTCAAAACAAAAGCAGAACATATAGTGGTTTGCAAAAGTATTCATACCCCTTGAACTTTTCCATATTTTGTCACATTACAACCACAAACATAAATATA